CGAAGCAAAATTGTGCGGCAAGAACTGCTCGTAACCCGAAAAGTTCGTTAACAGAAGCGTTCGTAACCCGAGGTTCCACTGTACATGAAAATTTTTGGGGAAAAAAAAAAGGGTTTAATCAGGACATTCCAGTTTGGATTACATCCCTTAGCATTTGGCTTGTGGAAACAAACATATCAAAATGGTAATGACCAGGAATCTTGTGATATAATCTCAGCCCAGTTGTGAGCTTACAGGATGACTTTAGGTGAGCCAGTTCCTTTTAGCTTTCTTTTCCTCCAAATCCAATTTGTAATACAAGATCGTCTCTGGGTTAAAAACGACCAGGCTAAGAACCTATAACTACAGTTAACTATCGTTAAGAATGGAGCCTATTGTAGCAAAATTTGAGTTAAATACACAATGATTCGAGTTCATTACACAATATTAATTATACAGCATTATACAATAAAGCTGTTCTGGCTTAAATACAGTTTCGACTTAAGGACAGACCTTGGGAACGGAACTCATTCTTAAACTGAGGACTACCTATACTTCTGTTGTGCTGTCCTACCACATTTATTTATCTGAAAAATGTAAACAATGATTTTTGAATAAATAATCCTCAAGGCAACTTACAACTGATATATAATGTAAAGTCTTCAGCTGTTCAGTCCTAGGGCAACTGATGGTTAGATCTGAATGTTCTAATGGCAGGGAAGAGCAAAGCAAACTTACTGTATCTATTTGTTTTCTGGCTGATGGACGAGACCAGAACAGTCTTCCCTCTTGATGTGATCTTGTGGGAGATAAGGGATGCAATCTCCCCATGGCACATTGTTCTCTGGTTAATGGTTCAAGCTGGGATACATTTCCTCCTAGTTCTGCAATTTTCCACAGCTGTTGCAAGAGTTACCCAGATAAATTATACAGCATGTATTTACAGAACACATTATCTCTCTCTGGTTTGCTAATGTGCGTGTGTATAGCACCTCCTTATCCTATACTCCAGTGAAGCACTAACCAGAATTTGAAACTAGCAAATCAACATGGTGTTCAATCGTATGTGTGAACACAGCCCATCAAGTTCCAGAATAGATGAATAAATTGAAATGACAAGGGGTGCTGCTGTTATGGAAGTTGTGGCAATGAGGTGGTGGAATCTGACAACATATTGACCACATAAAGTAAAGAAAGAAAAGGAAAAGAATTGGAATCAGTTAAAGAATGGGAGGCATATTCACATACAGTATAGAATATTGACATTATTAAAGTGTTTCTTCAAGTATGCACAAAAGGGTTACAGACTATTTGTGGGATAATTATTCTAAAGCAAAGCATATAAAGTAAGGGGTTTTTTTCTGTTGAATATACAGAATATGTTAGCAGTTTGTATAAAGTCAACAGTAATTCAGAATTTAAGGAACAGGATAATAGATGTGCCAGCCATGATGAAAGAAGCCAGCAAAAATGTCAGAGTAGTTTTAGGAATTAATTAATGGTTTCATTTGCCTCTGGTGCTTTTGGCTTAGCCCTTTCTGAAACTCCAGCAAATGGAGGATTTTCTTTGAAGCTACTGAAAAGTGGAAATGTGTCCAATAGGTATTTTGGTGAAGCTGCGGATGTCATATGAATTCATAAATCATTCTCTACGCTGGAGCTCTTTAGTAAGGAAGTATATTATGATGACACCATTCACTATTATTATTCTATGTTGCCTTGGAGACAGATACCCAGAGGTGTTGGGGCTGAAGAATAAAAAGTAGTCCTGGAATACACACATTTAAAAGCACAGTACAATACTGTCCACTAAGGGACATTTCAAAACACCTAGAAACTGAGATGTACGCTCCCAGTTCTCCTCGCCCTTTCCCCATTCTTAAAATACTATATTTGACCCTGTCCTCAGAAGGTTATTAACCAAATTGATTAAGGCAAATTGGGGAGATGGTTGAATCATTTCATATGCTCAGTTTCTGATACAAAGATATATGTATTGTTTAAATAATTTAGCCCTGGCAAGGATCGGGGGCACTTGGGGAAGAAATAGGGACGGCAGTGAGGATAACATTGTGCAATTGCACCAGCCCGTGCACCTGTAAGGAATCTGAGGCTGAGTGAGTTTCTGGTGGTTCTGGATATGTACAGAAAACCCTAGCTATCTGGGGTCTTTTAAGCAAGCCTGGATTGAGTTGTAGAATCTATTCCAGAACCCACAATAGATTCATGTTAGGATAAAACCATGACAGGAACTACCAAATAGCTCTACCTGATTTCTGGCTCATTTTCACCTTAACAGTATATAATCTCTTATCAGCTGCTCTGCCCCATTATTCCATTATCTCATCCAGTATAAGCCAATAACACTAGGGGCATGACTAGGGCCTGCTATTTTATAACAACTATGTAAAAGAAACCAATCCATTAAAGGTAGTCCTCAACTTATGATCATTCATTCAGCAACCCTTCGAAATTACAATGACGCTGAATGAATAGTGGTTATGACCAGTCCCCAGAGTTCCAGCCATCCCATCACCCCCGCGGTCCCGTGATTGAGATCTGGGCACTTGACAACCAGCTCTCACTTATGACCAGTTGCAGCACCCTGCAATCACATGATGGTCATTTGTGACCTTCCCTGCTAGCTTCCCATAAGCAAAGTCAATGGGGAAGGTTGCAAGTCACTACGGTAAGTCACTCCTGCCTACAGTACCCACCCCCGCCTGCACGCAGCCTCCGCCAGCCCTCCCCAGTCTCCCTCAATTCGCGCATGACCTGCACCAGGCCTCCCAAGCCCCCCCTGGCCTCCCCTCAACTCATGCTGTCCCAAGGCCTCCCCCAGTCCCCACATGTTTCTTATCTGGGTGTCAGCCTTGTGAGGTAGGCCAGACAGGAAACATGACCAGATGAGCTCATTCTACTTTATTGTAAGGCTACATTAACAGAATCTTGCAAGTCTGAAAGTACAATTCTAAGAGACAGCATAGCCTGCAGCTGGATAGTGGGTGGGGCAAGAGGCTCAGAAGAGACCCTCCCTAGTTTCTGG